GAGCCCAGCATCGGGCTCCCTGCTCCACGGGAAGCCTGCTTCTCCCTCTCCCACTCCCCCTGCTTGTGTTCCCTCTCTCGCTGTGTCTCTGTCAAATAAATAAATAAAATCTTTAAAAAAAAAAAGAAAACACAGGCATTAAGCTCCTTGACATCTGTCTTGGTGATTAGTTTTTGAATCTGACATCAAAAGCAAAGGCAATAAAAGCAAAAGTAAACTATTGGGACTACATCAAACTAAAAAGCTTCTGCACAGCAAAGGAAACCATAACAAAATGAAAAAGCAACCTACTGAACAGAAGATATCTACAAATGATATATCCAATCAGGGGTTAATATCTAAAATATATAAAGAACTCTTACAATTCAATAGCAAAAAACAATCCAATTAAAGTGTAGAAGATCTGGGGGCGCCTGGGTGGCTCAGTCGTTAAGCGTCTGCCTTTGGCTCAGGTCATGATCCCGGGGTCCTGGGATCGAGCCCCGCATCGGGCTCCCTGCTTTGCAGGAAGCCTGCTTCTCCCTCTCCCATTCCCCCTGCTTGTGTTCCCTCTCTCCCTGTGTCGCTCTCTGTCAAATAAATAAATAAAATCTTTTAAAAAAAATAAAGTGTAGAAGATGTGAATAGACATTTTTCCAAGGAAGACCTACTGATGGTCAACAGACACATGAAAAGATGCTCAACATCACTCATCATCAGGTAAATGCAAGCCAAAACTACAGTGAGAAATCATCTTACCTCTGTTAGAATGGCTATTAGGAGAAAGACAAATACCAAGTGTTGGCAAGGATGTGAGATAAGGGAACACTTGTGAACTGCTGGTGGGAATGTAAACTGGTACAGCCACTATGGAAAACAGGATGGAGGTTCCTCAAAAAATTAAAAATAGAACTACTGTATGATCCAGCAATTCTACTTCTGGGTATTTACCCAAAGAAAATAAAAACACAAACTCAAAATCAGTCATAAAAAAGGAAGAAGGGGCGCCTGGGTGGCTCAGTTGTTAAGCGTCTGCCTTCGGCTCAGGTCATGATCCCAGGGTCCTGGGATCGAGCCCCGCATCGGGCTGCCTGCTCAGCGGGAAGCCTGCTTCTCCCTCTCCCCCTGCTTGTGTTCCCTCTCTCACTGTCTCTCTGTCAAATAAATAAATAAAATTAAAAAAAAAAAAAGTTGCTAAGACTAGATCTTAAAAGTTCTCATCACAAGAAAAAAAATTTTATAACTATACACAGTGACACATATTAGCTAGACTTACTCTGGTGATCATTTTGCAATATATACAAATATCAAGTCATGTTGTACAGCTGAAATGAATAAAATGCTATATGTCACAAAGTTCAAAGACAACACAAGAAAGTAAGCTGCACCAGGCAATGACAAGCACAGACAGTATTACTAATTTAAAAAAATCAAGACTAAAACGATTTCTGCCTGAGAAATTAGGGGGAATATATCATGAGACCGTCTCAGTTTAATTCAGGAAACAAATGTTGATGCCACAGCTGCAGTTACAAGACACCAGGCTTGTACTGCAAAAGAACTTAATCTACTAGGGGTAAGGAAGACAAACACACAAATAACAAAAGAGGCTATTTATAACTGCCAGAAAAAAACAGAAACCCCACACTGCTGATTCAAACCATCCAACAGAGGAGGAGGAAGTCGAGGCAATTTTCATCTGAAGATGCAGCATGTGAAGTGAGATGTGTTCTGCAGAATTCCCACAGAACGTGGGAAAAATGCTTTCCAATCAGTGACACCAGAGAGAAGCGAGACTTTGTAGGGCTTATTCTAGATCGAGATGGCCTGAAGTCAGGGATTCGAGTATGGAAGTAGGGAGGACATAAGGACAGTAACAAAGGCAAAGGATCTTCACTACAAACTGGCCACTTTTTTTGTAACTTATTTGGTAACTACAAGCCACTCAACACCTTGAGGCAGAAGATCTAATCCGAATTAGACTTTAAAAGCTTTTATCTGGCGGGCGCCTGGGTGGCTCAGTTGGTTAAGCGACTGCCTTCGGCTCAGGTCATGATCCTGGAGTCCCGGGATCGAGTCCCGCATCGGGCTCCCTGCTCGGCAGGGAGTCTGCTTCTCCCTCTGACCCTCCCCCCTCTCATGTGCTTTCTCTCATTCTCTCTCTCTCAAATAAATAAATAAAATCTTTAAAAAAAAAAAAAAAAGCTTTTATCTGGCAACAGAGTACAACTCTGAAACAATAAAGCCTTGAAACTCACCTTCTGTCAATACAGACTACTTAGAAATAATTAATCAGTAACCTCTGCTTGGAGCTAGGCAGACCAAGTCTAGCTGGTTTTTCCAACACTGCATCATTCTCAACAGAAAATTAAGAGACTAGGGTGTATACCTTCTCTGCTCTCTTCACAATGGCTCTCTTCACTAATGCTGAAAGTTAGCTGGGCAAAGAGCATGATCCCATTCACCTGCATTTCCATCCAAAAGGTACATTAAAAGAAGGTAAAAGACCTTTACTTTAAAGACTGTAAGACATTAATGAAAGCAATTGAAGATGACACAAAGAAATGGATATTCCAGGGGCGCCTGGGTGGCTCAGTTGTTAGGCGTCTGCCTTCGGCTTGGGTCATGACGCCACGGTCCGGTCCTGGGATCAAGCCCCGCATCAGGCTACCTGCTCAGCGGGAGGCCTGCTTTTCCCTTTCCCACTCCCCCTGCTTGTGTTCCCGCTCTTGCTGTGTCTCTCTCTGTCAAATAAATAAATAAAATCTTAAAAAAAAAGAAAAAGAAATGGATATTCCATGATTATGGATTAGAAAAATTAAAATTGTTAAAATGTCCATACTACCAAAAGCAATCTACAGATTCAATGCAAACCCTATCAAAATTACAATACCAATTTTCAGAGAACTAAAACAAATAATCTTAAAATTTGTATGGAACCACAAAAGACCCCAAATAGCCAAAGCAATCTTGAGAAAGAACAACACAGCTGGAGGTATCACAATCCCAAACTTACTACAGTATATCCCAGATATACTACAAAGCTACAGTAATCCAAACAGTAAGGCACTAACACAAAAACAGACACACTGATCAATGGAGCAGAATAGAGAATCCAGAAATAAACCCACACTTATATGGTCAATTAATCTATGACAGAGGAGACAAGAACATTCAATGGGGAAAAGACAGTCTCTTTAATAAATGGTGTTGGGAAAATTGGACAGCTACATGCAAAAGAATGAAACTGGACCACTTTCTTATACCATACACAAAAATAAACTCAAAATGGATTAAAAACCTAAATGTGAGATCTGAAACCAGAAAACTCCTAAAAGGAAACAGAGGCAGTAACCTCCTCCTGGACATTGGCCTCAGGCAACATATTTATGGATCTGTCCCCTCGGGCAAGGGAAACAAAAGCAAAAATAAACTATTGGGACTACACCAAAATAAAAAGCTTTTGCACAGCAAAGGAAACCATCAACCTCCTGAATGGGAGAAGATATTTGCAAATGATATATCTGATAAGAAGTTAATATCCAAGATATATAAAGAATTTATGCCACTCAACACCAAAAAAATAATAATCCAATTAAAAATTGGGCAGAGGACCTGGACACTTTTCCAAAGAGGGCATACAGATGGCCAACAGACACATGAAAAAAGGCTCAACATCACTAACCATCAGGGAAATGCAAATCAAAACCACAAGGAGTTACCACCTTATACCAGTGAGAATGGCTAAAATCAAAAAGACAAGAAATAACAAGTGCCAGAGAGGATATGGAGATAAGGGAACCCTTGCGCGCTCTTGGTGGGAATGTAATGCAACCACTGGGGAAAACAATATGGAGGTTCCTTGAAAAATTAAAACAGATTACCATATGATCCAGTAATTCACTACTGGGCATTTATCCAAAAAAGAAAAAGAAAACACTAATTTGAAAAGATATATGCACCCTATGTTCACTGCAGCATTATTTATAATAACCAAGATATGGAAGTAACCATTTAGATGAATGGATAAAGATGATGTGGTATATATACACAACAGAGTATTACTCAGCCATAAAAAAGAATGAGATCCCACCATTTGCAACAAAATAGATGGACCTAAAGGATATTATGCTAAGTGAATAAAGTCAGAGAAAGACAAATACCATATGATTCCACTTATATGTGGAATCTAAAAAATAAAACAAATGACCAAATTAAAAAACAGAAATAGACTCATATTAATTCAGAGAACAAACTGCTGGTTGCCAGAGGAAAGAGGGTTAGGGGGATGGGTGAAATAGGAAAGGGGATTAAGAGATATAAACTTCTAATTATAAAATAAATAAGTCACAGAGATGAAAAGCACAGCATAGGGAGCAGTCAATAATATTACAATAACATTCTATGGTAATAGATGGTGACTACACTTATTGTGGTGAGCACTAAGTAATGTATAGAATTATCAAATCACTATGTTGTATACCTGAAAGTAATATAACACTGTATCTTGACTATACTTAAAAATTAAAAATAAATTCAAAAAAGTTTTAGAGAGAAACAACCAAAGTATTCATTGTGAACCTGACAGTCTAAGAGAACAAGAGTCTGTCAGTATAGGAACCACTGCTGAGAGCATAGTCTAGAATGGACAGCACTCTGGAAATCTCCCTACTCCGCAGCCCCGCACTCCGAACACCCAAGTCTGCTTCTTGCCTCCTCAACACACCCTCTGGTAAACCCTTCGTCTCCCCCATGATAATTTAATTCTTTTCTCACCTCACCTCAGAGGTGACTCAAACCACAAGCTGCAGGGCTGGATAGGCTAAATGGTTTTCAGGCCTCACACTTCATCTGGAGACAGTAGGGCTAAAGACGTTTATACCAGACAAAACGTGAAATGATACCATGTCTCCTATTTTTAATAGCAAACCTGCTCGCTTCAGTCATGTCCTCCAGGCTGACCAGGCAGTGACCTTGCCCAACCCCACTTCCTGAACCCACAGCAGAGGCTGGCCAACCCAGGACAGGGCAGACACCAGTCATAGCCTTACCTTCCCTTTCAGTGTCTGCAAAGCATCCAGGTAGGCGGCCAGCATGGGCAGACTCAAGGTCTCCACCAGGGTGGTGTGCAGCCACTGGATCAGCTTGGTGTCCCAGCTCACACTTGCCAGAGCCTGCCGCACTCTCCTCGCACACTTGTCCACAGCAACACGGCGCAGCACTGGCTCATTGCAAGCCTAGAAGATGCAGGTGAGGTGGTAACACATGAGGGCCACCTTGTTAACAACTGGGGCAGGCGGGAGAGGGACTGACAAGTTAGCCAGTGAGGCTGAACTAGGAAGAGAACACCAATGGGCCAATTTCTAGAGTCTTACCCCTTCATTGGCCAAGCGGGCAAGCCGGTCAGACTGCAGGGCTTTGAGGATCTTGTTAAATAGCTTGTTCTGGGCCATTGTCCAGCCAGTCCTACAAGAGAAACTCTGAGGAATTAAAGTCAAACGCTGGGGACACTCCTCATGCATGTACACTGTACAAAGATTATGCCATGTTTTTTGTCAGCACTATGAAATAATATAACTGAAAGCAGCTTAAAGACCACGGAGCTAAAGCACAAGACCTAGATTCTAGTCCCAATCCTGCCCATAAGTCATCTCAGCATACATTTGTATTAATATATACACTACAGGTCAAAACCAGTTATGAATGAAGTTTTTTTTCAGTGCTAGCAAAGCTAATTATTTATCTAGAGGCTAAAATAACCCATTAATAAGTAAAAGCATGGCACCATTGCACAGATGTATTTGAATTTCACATGTTTAATATTTCACACAAAAAGACAGGATGAACAAGTATTTCAGTATACTAAAACCTCAGACTAAGATAAGAGACCTATTTAAATTACCTTTAGGAACATAACAAATGAAGCCTTTCCCTAATAGTGCACCCCACACTATCTCTCTCCCTTGTCCATGTATATTTTTTATATTTTTCTGTATACTACACAATTAGCAAGTTTACTTTTGAATGGTCTGTTCCATATAAGTTAACACTATACCATCCCCGCATGACACTGGTATACATACTTCTACTTTGATTAAGGAAGGCTTAGTGTGTCCTCCAACTCAGCAGTAAACTCCTGCAATTAGGAACTAGTCCTACTGCTGTTTGTTCCCACCTCATCACACCCAGCACAGTGGCGAGGAGCTTATTTAAGTCCCCCCTCAGCCCACTCCTGGCAATCTTAATGACTCTGATACTCGAACTCTGGTCAGTAACCTTCCTAAAGAGACTTAAGAGAAAGGTAACAGAAGATGCCCAATTAATATTTATCAACTCTCCCTGCCACACACACACAAAAAAACTGGTAATTAAGTTACCTTTAAAAAAACAAATTTAAGTGGATGCCAGACTCAAATGAGAACCTGGAATGAGATCATAGTAGTATTTCAATCAGTAGGGTTAAAGTAAATAGGGCTGAGACAACAACTAGCCAACTGGAAAAAGAAAATCTGGACCCCTACACATCACTCTTTACACCAAAATAAATTCTAAGTAGAAAAGTTAAATATTAAAAAATAAAGTTACTAAATAGGAAAAAGTGGTGGGTGTGTGTGTATAATGTATGAATAAGACCTTTCTAAGTATGACCTAAGACCTAGAAGCCATAAAAGAAAGATAAATATTAACGATATAAAGATAAATAAAAACTTCAAACTTCTGTAAAGGAAAAAACTAAACTATCATAAACAAAGTCAAAACACAATGGAAAAGTAACTGTCATTTCATCAAAATAGAAAAAACCTCCAAAAATTAGTGACAAAATGATAAAATACTCAAAACAAAAACAATGGGCAAAGAACACGAAAAGGCAGTTCACACAAAAAAAGTAGTCAACTCCCTCCAAAATCACACATACAAAGGAAAATCGTAAAATATTACTTTTCACCTATCAAATGGGTGAAAATTAAGAAATTTAGTAATACTCTATGTTGTAAGTGTGTAAGAAAATAGGTCCCTCCATACTTTGCTGATGGAAATATAAATTAGTACAACCTTTTAGAAAGTCAATGTGGAAAATCAATTATGGAGGAAAATCAATCAAAAATCCTAAGTCAAATCATGTCACTCTGCTCAAAGGCCTTTAGTGGCCCCATTTCAATCAGTTAAAACCAACCACCTCCTTGCAGTAGGCTATCTGGACCCCACTGCCTCCAACCTCATCATCCATCACTGCCCTGACTTACTGGGCTTCACCACACTGCCCCATCCCACCTGACACACACACCCTCCATGCTCCCACATCACAGACTGGGCCCTGGTCATCTATTCCTTCTACCTCAAACAACGGCTCCCTCTCCAATCTCCTCCAGGTCATTGCTCAAATGTTACCTTCTACTGAGGCTTCCCCTGACTCACCCTTATTTAAAACTACCAATACCCAGATTCCCTACCCCCCTTCCAGCCATATCACCACCTCATGCTCTACCCATTTTACTTCTGTTTAGTGTGTCTCCCTCTGCTAGAATGTAAAGGGCAAAATGGCAGGGATTTTTGTTGGTTTTGTTTAAGTGTTATATCCCCAGCATGTAAAACAGTGTCTGACACACAAGAGTCACTTGAACATCTGCTGAATAAATAAATGGATGAACTGTATGCATACTACATTCCAAGTCCTGTAAATAGCTGAGTGCAGACACCAACCCCTACACTCCCTACCACACTAAGCACTGAGCAGGAGAGGAACGCTACATGATTCAGGTTCAACTGTAAACTGAGTGGGTGGGCATACCTGGGTGGGCAAACCGAGGGAAGCTGCTGGAAACAGCTTCAACAATCTCAATTTCTCTTACTTTATAACAGACTAGTATCTTTTCCATCATATACCACCAGCAAGATACCCTATTTTCTACAGGTCATCTAAGAATACTAGTAACAAGGCCCAATAAATATGCAGATGGAGGACAAATTATCCTTTGTTATTCATTTTCTACAAGGATCCTACTGCCCTTAGAGTAAATACCCTCTAGAAAGGGAGAAAATAACGGGCCTTCATTTCCTCTGTAAAATAAAATCTCCACCTACATCTCCAGTTTTACGACTACAGTTACACACACACACACACACACACACACAAAGAGTCCAAGAGGACACTAACTAGGAGCAAGGACTCTAACCAGCTCTGCAATAAAGAGCTGGCTGTGTGTCCTCAGGCTCCTTGACTATAAAATAGATGTGGACCTCTTGGTCTCCAAGGTTGCTTCTAGCAACCAAAATCTCAGCTATGCTGACTGATGGAAGCACAACAGTAAGAGAACAGCTGAGTCCACGATGGAGAATTCAGAAGCACCCTCTATCTTCAGTAGCTATTCTTGCTACAGCTGAATCCCTTAACCTCCCAAGCCTCCCACCCTTCATAACCCCCTTATGGGGTACTAAAAGCAGTCTTGGGTTTTGTGGAATTGTCCTTCTTCTTATTTTCCCCTAGTTCTCTTGGCTTAATTCCTGCTACTTCATTAGGATCCAGTCAGTTTTTGTTGCGGTTTGATATTTCAGAGATTTTTGACTTGGGAGGTGGGGAGAGGCTTCAACTCAACATTGGAACTCAGGATGTCTCGGGATCAGGAAGGTTTGTGGGAAAGTAGCTCCAGCCCATTGGTTCAGGATCTCATTTTCCTCCACATTATTTAAATGCACAGCACATTCACATGAGTAGTCGCTTTCTCATGTATAGCAATTCTCAGGTGGACTTGGAAATACAGTATTTCCATATCAACACACCTCTTTGTTTTTAATGGCTGGTTCCACCCTACCGGTGGGCATTTAGGTTGTGCCTCTTTTATTGCTATTATAAACGGTTGCAGTGACCACCCTTCCTTTCCCCACCAATACACACTACACACATCTGTCTACATCTTTATATAGGCATGCAAGTATCTCTGTAAGATAAATTTCAAGTGGAAATGAAAGATCAAAGGCTATCTGTGTCAAAATTTTCAAATTTCCAGTTGTGTGAAAATAATATGTATAAAAAAACTGCAGGACCTCAAAAGTGGTATTATACTGTAGCTTCACCCCAGGCAACATTGCTCACTTTTAATCAAACAGGATAAGCAGCGAATACAATTCCTTCATGTTCAACAATCTCTTGTGCTTTCTCAAAGTCTATTGATCATGTTGCAAACTTTAATTCCAAGGACAGAGAATGAGGTATAATTTATTTACAAGGCACCAACAGCAGTTCCAAAATTATCCTGTTCTTTATTATATAACAGGATGTTTTCCCTATTTGTTTTTCTTACTCTATATTTATTCTGAAACCCAAAATGATGGGAGCAAGAAAAATGACGTGAACAAAATGGGAGGGGGCTAGAAAGCTACTTAGAAATTACTACCATACACCAACGACAGTTGAGATTAAATTGAAAAACCACAATGTTGAGAGTCTAAAATCCCAGAAAAAGTTCTTAAGATTGTTGCTGGATATATAACAAAGTGATTCCAAGAACTGAAACGTGTTCTCTATATTTTGTCAGCTTCGTGGGAGGCTGGAAAATTAAGTGGGCAGGGAAAAAAAAATGATCTAACCCAAGATTAAGATAAAGAGCATGCAAAAGATATAATTAAGGAAAAATTTAAAAACAGGAGACAGAATTTTAAATACAAGTCTAAACAGTCAAATAGCTGATGGGAACTGTGATGAGTCAATGTGCTCCCCCCACCTAAACCAATTCAATTTTCATGAGTGCAAAAGTGCCTTTTCTTCATTTCTTAGATGAGATCAGATAATCTCATATTCCCCATGCTTTGATAGAACCTGACTGATGTCTGACCTCTGGCTCATCTTATCCAAAGCAGCCAAAGTCACATTGGTCCCAGAAAAGCCTGATGTTTTCAAAGGTAATATTCTTTCTCTGATACTGTTTTAAGGGAGACTAATTCAATATTAAAATGTCTAAAGGATTTTTTTTTAACCAGAAGTCAAACAGGGAGAGACAAAGAACATCAGAGGGACTGAATAGGCCACACTTACTTTTTTCCAGATTATAAAAATTCTTTGCTTAAACACTAAGAGAAAGGAAGAAAGGAAGAGGAAAGAGAAGGAGAGGGAGGGAGGGGGGAGAGGGAAAAATAACTCAAAGATCTTGGACTCAAAATTTCAAATATCCAACCTAAGATTAATACACAGACAGGTACATACAATATCGAGAGATATAATTAGAGCAAATTTTTAAATGGAGAACAATTTTCCTTTGGCAAAATTCAGAAGTTCTGAATTTTAAGATAAGATAAGCTGCTTAAGGATACTAGATTCTTTTACTGAAATGTTGGAAATGTCCTAACATCCATTTGACCATGCTGAGAAATATCATGTGCCAGGAGTATTTTGTTAAATCTCTTTCAAAAGCTGTGTATCTAATTAAACTTGGCATTTGATAAAACATCTGGGGGAAAAAAAAAGCCAGTCCAACTTCCTCAGGACGACAGTGCTATACAGCAAATGTAAATCATTTCCAAAGGCTCTACAAGCCACATGACTTTGACATGCAGACACAAGAGCATGATCTAGACCAGAGGTCAGCAAACTTATTCTTTAATGAACTGTATAGTAAATATTTCAGTTTGTGGGCCACATGGCCTGGGTCACAAGGATTCAACTCTGTGGGGATGGTGCAAAAGAAGACAAGTACAATACCTAAATAACATGCATGGCTGTGTTCCAATGAAACTACATTTACGGACACTGAAATCTGATTTCATGTGTCTTTTGACTTTTTTTCAACCACTTAAAAATGTAAAAACCATTCTTAGCTCATGGGCCAAACAAAAACAAGCAATGGGTGAAATCTGGCACATGGGCCATAGTTTGCCAACCCCTGATCTAGGCAATTAAATCAGGCAGAGAGGGATATTTAAATTGTTTCACAAAATATCAGGCATCACTAGAGAAAATCAGAGTTGGTTGGGGGTAGGAGGGGGCCTTCATTATCTATACAAAGAAAGCTATCTAAAGGCAGTTTCTACTGAAATAATTCAAGGGGGAAATAGGGCTCCAACAAAGAAAATTAAGTTTCTGACTCTACTGATAGATCAGCAAGCTCTGAGGAAAAACAGATTTCTAGGGCACTGTCCTATAGACCATGAGTTCTTGATGTGGGAAACTAATTTTACAGGATTTTATACAGGAAGAAAAGAAGCAGCAATTTAACAATCAAGTCAAGGGAAAGAATGGCAACAAGATGATTATAATCAGAGCACAAGGAACTAACTGCAAGTTCTACACAGGCTACACATCCAGAATTCGGGGACAAGGTCATAAAATGGTGACCTCTGAAATTGAAGCCAGTAAGTATCATCAAATAATGAAATTAGCTGTGTGCAAAAGTGACCTACCTGAAGAGATGGTTTGTAAGCCTGTTGCTAATGAGAGGACTCCTCCAAAATCTCATCAGACACTAAAAAACAAATAATCTGAGATAAACTGAGCGCTAATTAATCATATCAATCTGTGGCAATGTCATAACAGAAGGATGGAGGTCCACATGGAGAAAGACAAGCCAAAGATAAGATTCTGTCAGTGTTTCTCTGCAGGACAGGGCAGGTGATGGTGTGCCCTGGCCTACTCTGTGGGCCCATCTTGCTTTCAGGAAAGATGGGTGCCTCCAGCCGCCTTGTTGAAGGAGGGGGCCTCCAGGACAGACTGTCCACTCACCACCCACTTCTGGAACGGAATAGCTTCCCAAACTCTCCTACTGAGAACTGATGCTCTGGCCAGGCCACCCCAGTGTCTCATCTGCCTTACAGGTTATTTCTCTTCTTATAAATTAAGAATCAGATATTCATATGCATTAAGCCTCTGATGACTTTGGTAAGTATGAAGAGTCCCTAAAAACCTCCTGATCATGACCATGGGTGAACAGATAAAAAGAACTTCATGTAGTTCTCCCACGCAGTTTCGGAAATTGAAAACCGAGGACAAGGCAACTGGTAACACCACAAAGGGACACATAACGGTGTAAGGCTGTCTTGTTCAGCCACCACTAACTGGTCTCTCTTTTTGAGAGGTTTGCCCTTAAAGAAAGGGTACATAGCCAAGAACACTGAGCTCTGGATTCAGACGGCTTGCTTTGAACAAATTCCTGCTCCATCACTTCCTAAACTAAGGTTTCTTAAACTCCCCGAGCTTAGTTTCTTCATCTTATAAAATAGAGACGAAGAAGGGATATAGCTCAGAGAATTATTGTGAGGATTAAAAGAAATAATGCATATGAAGCACGTGGCACAGTGCCTGGCACCTAGAAAGCTCTCAACAAATGGTAGTTCTTTTTGGTACTATACCACTGTCACCATTTTTTTTATTATTATTAACCGCAACAATGGCAAAACAATGCAGTTTTGCTGCATTCAGTGACTCCAGGAATACTCTAGTAGTTGATCTTCACTCACAGCAGAAGTTTCCCTCTTTAGCTGAAGCTCTGGAGAGCATTTTCCCTTCTTAGGGCACAACAGTAATTCCAACTCAACACCCCAAACAACTTACTTCTTCACAAGCTCTTCATCCAGGTGGAGAACTGCTCCTCCTCCCATAGCTACTACCCTCCTCACACAAGCATACCTGCTCAATCTCATTCCCTGCTTCTGACCAGACTCAGAAACCGTGCCAATTGCCTCAAACCTTCCTACCCTTCTTCCTATCTAATTACCTCTTCCTCTTCCATTATTATAAAACAAGAGCTCTCCAACATTATGGCAAGTTTACCACCTACATACTCTTGATGTGAAGATTTTAACATTCCCTTAGACACAGCAGATAGAGATAGAGCCATCAAGGAAATGCAAATTAAATCCACAATGAGATGTCACTTTGCATCCACTAGAATGGTAATAATAAAAAAAGAGGCAGACAATAACAAGCGTTGGCAAAGATGTGGGAAAACTGGAACTCTCATACACTGCTGGTGGGAATGTAGAATGGCAAAGCCCCTTTAGAAAATAGTCGGGGGGCGCCTGGGTGGCTCAGTTGGTTAAGCGACTGCCTTCAGCTCAGGTCATGATCCCAGGGTACTGGGATCGAGTCCCGCATCGGGCTCCCTGCTCTGCGGGGAGCCTGCTTCTCCCTCTCCCACTCCCCCTGCTTGTGTTCCCTCTCTCGCTGTGTTTCTCTCTGTCAAATAAATAAATAAAATCTTTAAAAAAAAAAAAGAAAATAGTCGGAAATTCCTCAAAAGTTAAACAGAGTTACCATATGACCCAGCAATTCCATTCCTAGGTATATATGCAAGAGAACTGAAAACACATGTCCACAAAAAAAAGCACATGAATGTTCATAGCAACATTATCCAAAATAGTCAAATAGTGTTAGCAACCCAAATATCCATCAATGGATGAATGGATAAACAAAATGTGTTATACCCACATAATGGAATTTTAGCAATAAAGGGAATGAAGTACTGACTCATGCTACAACATGAACGAACCTTGAAAACAGTATGCTAAGTGAAATAAGGCAGATACAAAAGGACACATATTTTATGATTCCATTTATATGAAATGTCCAGAATACGCAAATTTAAAGAGAAAGACAGTAGACTGGTGGTTGCCAGGGGATGAAGGGATTGGGAGGAAATGGGAAGTGACTGTTAAAGGGTACAGAGTTTCTTTTGTGGATGACAAAAATGTTCATCAAATTGACTGTGGTTGTGCATATACTAACAACCACTGATTGTGTACACATTAAACAGGTGAATTGTATGGTATGTAAATTTTATCTTCATAAAGTTGTTTGCAGTAAGTAAAAGATAAATAAATGTATGTTAGGGTGCCTGGGTGGCTCAGTTGGTTAAGCGACTGCCTTCAGCTCAGGTCATGGTCCTGGAGTCCCGGGATCGAGTCCCGCATCAGGCTCCCTGCTCAGCGGGGAGTCTGCTTCTCCCTCTGACTCTGCCCCCTCTCATGCTCTCTCTCTGTCTCATTCTTTCTCTCTCAAATAAATAAATAAAATCTTTAAAAAAAATAAAATAAATAAAATAAATGTATGTTAAAGGAACAATGACAAATGGGCCAGAGAGGAATGGAGTCCCCTGGGTCAGCAGGAAGCAAGGGAATAAAATCAGCCAACAAACTCATGAAAACTCCCTCAAAACCATAGACTGTAAATCTATTTTTAAAAGCCACTCAAATCAAACATCTGTTAGCTTTTCAAGTGACTCCAAAACATTTTCATTACTCTAGTTATAGACCATATAAATACAGTATCTTACACATGTACTCTTATTTAATGGCTTGTCTGTTTGTAGTCAGAGTAACTCCGACAGCATAGCCTACACTATAAGATACAGAACTAGGCATACCTATCATATTCAATTCATTTACTTATTCAATAAGCATTTATTATATGCCTACTACGTGCCAGGCAGTGTCCTAGGGTCAGGGATGCAAAGAAGGTTGAGACAAAAGTCCTCCTCTCAAGCACCTCACTGCATCCTGAGCTGAGAATTATAACACAGAGTTAAGAAAACATTCTGACTCGTGTGGCTACAAATGAAATAAACTCCTAGTAGATGTGTTTCAATGAAGATGATGATACAAAATACTGACAATGCGATGACCATTACCCCTGCAGTGACCAGTCCTCCTGAGCAGTGGCCTACCTGTTGACATGCTCCTCCCAGTCCTCTGGTGGAGGAGGGGCATCTGCATCGGTCCTAGCGAAGATGACATGCCGTTCACACTCATTCATCACGCTGCGTGCCTTCTGATTGTCATAGAGCGGCACAGGAGTTGATGTGACTGTCTCCACATCTATTGGGACGTCTGATTCACTGTAAACAGGTGAGGAAATAGGACCAGGCCACACGTACTTCACACAACACAGGTGTTTAACGATCATCTGGTTGCCAAAAAATGACTCTTTAAATATAATCAGCTTGAAAGTATGCATAAGCACATTATACCCACAAGAAAATTATGATCCAAAGTCATCTTTCCCACACTTGTCTAGATCTCTGCCCTCTGACATGCTGTTATGTGCTGGGGGGAACACAAAGTCATTTTAAAATGTGTCTACATAAAAAATGACAAACAGCTATTTTTGTTAAAAGACAAAAATATTCCATAAAGCAAACAGTTGACTGCCTAGATGTACTTTCCAATACAGTAACTATAAGCCACATGCAACTATTTCAATTAATAAAAATTAAGCAGAATTAAAAATTCAGTTCCTCGGTTACACTAGCCACATTTCAAGTGCTCAATAGACATATGTGGCTAGCAGCTCCCACATTAGACAGCACAGATACAGAACGTTTTTCTCATTGCAAAGAGTTCTGTTGGACAGTGCTGGTTTTAAATTATTCATACAAACTTTCCCTTTCATTAGCAAGTCAACTGGTAATTATATGCTATAAAAGCCTATGATTGTCTAAGACAAATCACCTGGAATGTAGACACCTTATTTAACTCACTGTTTAAGGAGTCTAGAACAGAAACAAACAGAAATGGATATGTGATGGATCTTTCATATTTTAAAATGTTAATTAAATCCTAGTGCCATAAGGGCTCTTCACTGCACCAAACTAGTCATTCAAAATTCTATGCCAATCAAAATGGTCTACTGGCTGTCTATCAAACATCACTTTAACGTTTTGACCCCAATGATGATCTTATTGCATCTATTCCTAGTGACTGGAATAATTACATCATTATGAAATGAAGTGAAATATGTGCAGCTAGATTTGGTGGTGGATGAAAGAGCTGATTACCTTCTCTGGACCAGACACTGAGCTAGGCACTTGGACTTGTATGCCTAAAAGAGAACTCCAGATTTCACCATTCCTAACCTATCCCCCAGTCTTCCCCAACTCACAGTACTACTCAGCTACCCAAGCCAAAAATCTGACTCATCCTAATTTCACCTTTTCCCTGTCTTTCCAATTCACCACGGCAGGTCCTGTTGGTTCTACCTATGAAATACATCTCAAGGTCATCCTTTTTCTTCATCTGTACTATTCCTGCCTCTACTCAACCTATCATGATCTCTGGCCCCCACTACTGCAATGGCATCCTAGCAGGTCTTCTATTTCCACTACTGAATTGTATCTATTCAACAAAAATTCAAAGCAATCTTTTAAAAATATAAATCCAGACGCCTGGGTGGCTCAGTCATTAAGCGTCTGCCTTCGGCTCAGGTCATGATCCCAGGGTCCTGGGATCGAGTCCCGAATAAAATCTTAAAAAACAAACAAACAAACAAAAAAAAAACACCACTATTCTATTCATGTTTAAAACACACACATCATGGTATCTCTAGCTCATTAAGGCTCAATAGGAGATGTAAAGAAGCAAAATACAAGATCTCTATTCACCAACAAACCTAAAACCTGTCCTAGAGGAAAGATAAGACATTCGATTAGATTAAAACAAACAAAGAAAAAAAGTCTCTTCCCCCCAAAAAAGTTTACAAAATTATTAAGGGTATGATTTGATCATCAAAATAAAATATATCAATCAATCTTGAAATAAAATTAGAATAACTTAAAGCTCAAAAGAACTGCTAAACAAGTTTATTTAGGCCAAATGTAATTGTATCACATATTACATAGTAAATTTATAAAAAAAAGTCCTTACCCTATAATGTAGGCCAGTTGAAAATACAATCAGACCTAGGAAGGGTTTACATCAACCCGTGGGTGACAAGCTAAGAGAGAAAGCAAGGCGGAATATGTCTTGGAATATGCTCCTAAACTTTGCTGAGTGAAGTCAGAAAAAGGAAATCACGTTACCTCAAAAAGGTTATCATTGCCAGTGATGGAGCAAGCCAGAACACTGGAGTAAAGGAAATGAGTCTAATCCTGAGCGACAATTTTTAAAAAATCAACTCCTCTGTCTTTTTCATCACCAGCTAAATAATCCTCTTTCCATACAAGTCCTATTAACTACATGGAATATGTTGTTTGCTTTCCTAACTTGTTAGATGTCTTGAATGCAGATGTCTACATATAGGCCGGATAACCTCACACTGCCTAACAGAGATGCCTTAAGTAAATATCCAAGGCCCCATACAATCTCCCACAATAAAATCCTTTCTAATCCCCACCATCTGATTACTGTCCAGTTAGAAGGCAAGGGCAGCCCTTAGGAGAGAAGGCCAAACTCACATGGTACTTTCATGCTGCCTCCGGGGAGTAACAAAGAGCATGCGCGTGGGGCGAGCACTACTGGCATCGGGGTGGGCACTCCATGGCTTGGCATAGCTATGATCCAGAAAAACCAGGTCCAGCTCCCGCTCGTGCACTGAAAGCTGAAAGAGCAGCGAGGTGCCCATACGCCGCGCTGAAGTCTGGAAGTCCCTCTCCCCACCCCGGTGGGCCATGTCAGTAGAGGGCCAGCAAGTCAGAGAATGGGTATCTGCATGCTAGTCACCTGCAGTGAAAAGTTTCGGTTTAAGGCAATTCAAAGATTCTAAATTTCTTCCAACCTAGAATAATATCTAATATCCTTCTTACTTTTGTGACTTTCTATCATTCATAATTGAGTATCCATTACACCACAGACCCTTGCCCACCATAGGAAGGGCTCCTGAGATCCCACACCACCCCCAAAAAAGGCTATTGACACCACAGGATCCTCCATACTCAATCCCTACAAAATTCGTTTACTGGACAGCTGATTGACTCCACTGTTCACAAAGGCCTCACATGGACACATACTAAACTTGCTTGGCCAGCACCACAAATTCCTATGCAGGCAGGAAGGGTTCTGGCAAACACGAATCACAAACATTCATTCTTCCAAAGCTAAGGGGCTCCGTCGCTCCATTGCTTCACACCATTCCCCAAATACTCAGAGCCGTCTCCGCGGCCAGAGCGGGAGCACCCCAGGAACAGCACGGCAACGTGGGCCTCTAGAAAGCCCTTCAAGCCTCTTTCTTATGTTAAAAGTTTTGCAACTACTTGCTAATGCCCTGGAGTCCTTAAAATATCCAAATGAGAGCTCCTGCCCAAAGGCTGCAGCAAAACGCTATCCCAGGAAGCCCCCTCTCCCCCGCCCCAAGGTGGGTAGTCCCCGGCAAACCGCCCGGTACTCCACGTCCCCCTCCGGGGGTCTCGCCACTGAGCCTCGAAACGCCCCATCTAGTAGGCAGGGCTTATAATTCGCACTGTATAGACGGAGGCGCCGGCTCGAGGGAAGATGAAGCGACTTGGCCAAGGTCACCGAGAGTTCGCGACGAGGAGGAGCCGCCTCGCACCCGCCTCCCGCCCGCGTCACGGGCCCGGGCCCGGCCGGGCTCCCGCGTCACGGCGGC